ACCCCCACACACCCACACCTCCTCATCCCCACACCCCCACACCCCCACAGACCCACACACCCACACCCACACACCCGCTCACCGAAACACCCACACACCCACACACGCGCACACCCACACACACACTCACATACCCACACACCCACACACCCACACACCCACACACCCACCCACCCAGCCACCCACGCACCCACCCGCCACGCCCGCCCGCCCGCCCACTTGCCCCCAGCACGCGCATGCAGGCAGCTACGCACGCAGGCAGCTACGCACGGGCGCCCGTGCCCGCACACCCCCACACATTCCCACACGCGCGCACACGCGCACACGTTCAAAAAGCACACGCACACACATTTAGATATTAGGGGGCGCAGGCACACACCCGTGGACACACACAGACGTTCGAGCACACAAGCGCACTTTCGCAGACACAGAGTTGCACAGACATACTTACGCTCGAGCTTGTACTCGTGCTCACGCCCGTGCTCAAGCTTTCTCACCCACACTCGCACTTACACAAAGGTTGACTTGCACTTTGACACACACACACTCATGTGCACTCACGCACACACGCACAAGCACAGGGGGCCTGACATTCTGGGATCCGAGGCTCTACGTCAACGGGGCTTTGGCCCAGACTTGCTTTGTCTATGGCCACGCAGACGAGCTATGGCTGGCGGCTTAGGCGGTCTTCTTCGCTTGTGGATCTTCAAGGGCCTGTGGAAAATAGGGCCAAACACTTGCCTCGCATGGGGCCAAGCGCGGGCCTTTGGCCACAGGCGTATGTGTGTGTGGCGGCAAGAAGGGTGTTTGCCAGAGTCTTCTTGCGCAACTTGCCTCGCGTTGTGTCACGGAAGCGTTGGCAGCTTGCTCGTCGTGCGCAGTGTGTGGTGTCGGCGCCACGGTGTGCGCGCGCAGTCTAAACGTGTTGCGTGGTACCGTGCGCGGACTACTTTGCGGGCGGCTCCTTCGATCCAGACGTGCCAGTTCACTAACAATATCCGTGCCAGATCATAGCCGCTTCGTCGGGCGACCGCTCTGATTGGCAGTTTTCGCTGGTTGGTAAGACAGCAGAAAGCTTAAAACAAACTTGGAAGCGATCTTGGCCCGACTGGAGGCGGTCGCAACGCATTTACTGGTTACAGCAAAGGCTCGCTCCCTTCTTTCCAGAGACTGCTCGAGTCGAGCAGCGGGTCGCAGCAAAAACAAGACTTTGCGGAGGGCGTGGCTTTGAAGGAGCTTTTGGTGAACTTCAGGGCATAGTTCGTAACTCATAGGCCTGCAACACCCCCAACCGTCGTCCGTCGCAACCCAGCTCCTGAAACGGCGCGCCCAGCCTGAATCGCAAAATGGCGCCCAAATGCCAAAGTCGAGTCGATCCCTCTCCGTCGCTCAGAAAGAACTCGCCGTCGCCACCCTGATGCAGATTGTTGTTCATGTTGGGAGTTTCCGGGGCACGGAGAGTGTGCGCCTTGTGCTGTGGGATCCCTCGCGTCTGGGGCTCAGATTGGCCCTCGCGTCCCAATTGCCTTAGCCCCACCTCGCGCTGCCCAAATCTTGGGTCTTGTGGCGCCAGATTGAGATGAGATTTTTCATAACATAATTCCCAGTCCTATCAGCCTTGGCTTATACCCACTCCTTTACAACAGAATGAGAAAAATTGATACTGGGGCGAGCTCACCAGACAAAGAGGAGTGTGATGTGTGTGTGGTGTGTGGGTGTGTGGGGGTGTGGGGGTGTGGGGGTGTGGGGGTGTGAGTGGTTTGGGGGTGTGGGCATGTGTGGGCATGTGTGGGCATGTGTGTGTTTGTGTGTTTGTGAGTTTGTGAGTTTGTGTGTTTGTGTGTTTGTGTGTTTGTGTGTTTGTGTGTGTTTGTTTGTTTGATTGTTTGTTTGTTTGTTTGTTTGTTTGTGTGTCTGTGTGTCTGTGTGTCTGTGTGTCTGCGTGTCTCTGTGTCTGCGTGTTTGCGTGTCTGCGTGTCTGCGTGTCTTTGTGTCTGTGTCTGTGTCTCTGTCTGTGTCTGTGTCTGTGTAGGTGTAGGTGTCGGTGTCGGGGTATGTATCTGTGTCGGTGTAGGTGTAGGTGTATGTGTCTCTGTCTGTCCCATTGTGTGCGAGCGTGCGAGCGATCGTGCGTGCGTGCGTGCGCGCGGTGTGTGTGTGTGTGTGTGTGTGTGTCTGTGTGTGTGTGTTTGTGTTTGTGTTTGTGTTTGTGGTTGTGGTTGTGTTTGTGCTTGCGTTTGTTTGTTTGTTTGTTTGATTGTTTGCTTGTTTGTTTGTTTGTGTGTGCGTGTGTGTGTTTGTGTGTGTGTGTGTGTGTGTTTGTGTGTTTGTGTTTTGTTTTGTGCGTTTGTGTTTGTGTGTTTGTGTTTGTGTGTTTGTTTGTTTGTCTGTGTTTGTTTCTTGTTTGTTTGTTTGTTTGTTTGTTTGTTTGTCTGTGTTTGTTTCTTGTTTGTTTGTTTGTTTGTTTGTTTGTTTGTTTGTTTGTTTGTTTTGTTTGTTTGTTTGTTTGCTTGTTTGTTTGTGTTTTTTCTTGTGCGTGCGTGCGTGCCTGCGTGCGTGCGTGCGTGCGTGTGTGGGTGGCAGGTAGTTCAGATCAGGCGTGTTGCAATGTGGTTGGCCCGAGAAGAGACATGAAGGCCAAGATTTGCCCACCCGGTCAGTAGTCGTACACGAAGGTTTGCCATTGGTTGCCGAGGCCGGTCCATGAGGTTACGCTAGGTGGCCACTCCGTCCTCGTCTTAGCCCTCTCAGCCTGCTCAGCCTGCTCAGCCTTCTCAGCCTTCTCAGCCTTGCCAGACAGTGCGAGAGACAGTCGCCGAGGGAGTGTTCTTTGATGGTATGCTCGACGAAGTTGCGGTTTTCCAACATACCCTCACTGCAGTGGAGTTGAACCAGCTCTTTACGGGCGACCGCGCCTTGGCGTTGTTTCTTTTGTCCTCTTTGCTTTCTGCAGAATACGTTGCTGATTTTGGCTTGAGTTGGCAGGCGTGGCGAGCCTTCTACCGGGAGGAGGCATGTCTACTCAGCTGGACGGCTCTGTCCCAGCAAATGCGACAACTCTGCATGCCGTCGCCGCCCGCGGCCTAGCACAGATTCACTCAACTGGGAGCCTGCCATCATGGTAACTGTTGATATGAGTGTTGTTCATAGTCAATGCGAGTGTGTCCAAAAACTGGGGGTCTTCCTTGTTGCGTGCAAACTCCCGAAAAAGTCTCATCACACGCCAAGGTTGGGCAGTGGACAGAAAGCGAGCCTTTCATCATCGATCTTGTGGACCGCGGTTTTGGGATCGTGGGCCCCAATTTGTTTCCATGAAGCTCGAGAAAGCAAAGACCTGAAGCAAATGACGCACCGCCGTTTGCTGAGTTGTGCAAGTTGTTGCGTATTTTTCGTGTTCTGCAGATCAGATCTCTGGTTGTTGTCCTCGGTACTTGTCCTGGCTATATGCGTTGCGCAGCTGCTTATTGTGTAACATTGCGTGCGTGTGCCTGTGTGCCTGTGTGCCTGCGTGCGTGTGTGCAGCGCATGCATGCGTGTGAGTGTGTGTGTGTGTGGGACAGAGAGAGAGAGAGAGAGAGAGAGAGTGAGTGAGCGAGCGAGCGAGTGAGGGAGCGGTATTTCCCCGTGAGCTAGCGAGAGGTAGCAGGGAAGCGGTGGGATCCTGTGACAACTCAGCAACTCAGTGGGTGAACCCTAGGAAGGTTGTCCAGGTAAATCCCTTGGGCAAACACCCTTGGCTCAAGAGGTTGCCGACCTCTACACCCTGTACGCCAAGCCGCCGCACCCCCACAAATGGCAGGTCCCAGAAAGGCGTCCTGGGTTTTGTCAGGCTGTTCTTAGTACTACGCGTGAATGTGGAACATGGTTCCTCTAGTATGTGTTCAACCATTGCGCAGTGACAAACACACACACACAGACACGCCGCAGGGCTTCCTGCTTCTTTACAACGGGCGCTTCAAGATACGAACACACGGGATGAACCAACGGCATACAGGAAGAACAATCTGGCCCGGTAGCAAGATACCCCAAAACTCGCAGTCCGACAAGAGCAAACAATGTTGTTTTGTGGGTCTCCTACTATAGAACGTGTTCTTCCCAATCAGGATCATGGGAACTGCAGTATTGTAGAAAGTGGTTTCACAAAAAATCTTTCTGGGAGGAAACAGGCTAATTCCAAGCCTGGGCCTTTTACTTGCAAACATCTAAGCCCGACCCTCAGAGGCGAAAGGGCCCCGCCCGCCCTCCCTCTCCCTCACTCCCTCCCTCACCCACCCACCCACCCACACCCGCCCCGCCCGCCCGCCCGCCCGCCCGCCCGCCCCCGCCCGCCCGCCCGCCCGCCCGCCCGCCCGCCCGCCCTCCGCTAGTTTAAGCACGTGCCTTTCAACAACCGTCCAACACCTTTCCCTGAAGCACAGGCGGTCTACCGCTGCGAGTTCCAAGACGCACAAACACACGCGCGCACACACACACACAGACAACCACAAACACGAGCACAAACACAAACAGAAACACAGACACACAGACACCAACACCAACCCGAACGCGGACCCGAACCGGAACTCGCAACACAGACACAGGCACAGACACATACACATATTCGCAAACACACACACACACACATCCACACATCCACACAGATATTGCTCCAGACAAGCAGCTCACTCCGAAACCAAGCCCCCAAATTGTTGACCCTAAACCAAAAGCTAAACCCCGAGCTGTTGGCTGAACCTCAAGCTGTTAGCCCCAAACCAACACCTAAACAATAAACTATTGACCCTAAACCAAAACCTGAATTCTGCTTGCGGACAAACACCAAGCTGCTGAGACACGCAGTTGAATCCCTCATAGTGGGTGGTCAAACGTGAGGACTTGGGCGAACAAGTTTAGGCGCCTATTGTTTGCACGTCTTCTTTTTTTGTTTCCTAGAATGCACTTGTTTAAACTTTAACATTGCCATCAACCATGCTCAATAGTTTCTCAACCATGGCGGACTTGATTGGTATTGTCGAGTTCAGAGCGGGCCGTAACGAGGTCTTGTCAGGCTGCAAACGACAATTTTTTGTTTCAATAGGGACACAATTTTGAAAGGAACCAACCCATTGTGGCCGTAATTGGAGAAACCTCCTAAGTAAGCCCTTGCCTTCACCGCAGGACAAGGTGACCCCTGCACACCTGCCCGTTGGCGTTGACTTTATCGACTCGGATCCCATACGTGGAAGCTACGGCGGACTGGCCGATCCCTTGGAATGGGTGGCAGAAACCGTCAGCCGATCTTCTTTTGGGATCCGTTTCGGGTCCCGGCCCGGTGGCAGAAACCGTCAGCCGATCTTCTTTTGGGATCCGTTTCGGGTCCCGGCCATTTGGGGTTTGCGCAACGACTTTTGTCGCTGCCTTTTCTTTGTCAGTTTGGACCGGTGAAGATGGCGAAGGGATTTCAATTGCAGGGACCCGTTTTGAGGGCACACACGTAGCCAAAGACCCGGGTGTTTAGAGGCCGTGAATAGAAGCGGTTAGCGTTCTGCCTTGCATATCAGGGGTGGGCAGAATCTTGTCCTACAAAAGGCGCCATGTCAAAAAGAGAAGCCCGAGGTCACGGTCCAGCGTGCTCTCAACGAATCAGACATCTCGCACTACGTGGCATACTGGGGCCTTGGCCTGAGAGCCTAAGCACCTGCCCAGGCGTAGTGCCGAGCGAAGCCGTGTGATCAGATGGCGTGGAACGGGCGCCCATTCAAGCTGATTGAGAAATGCGAAGAACATGCCAATGTGCGTCTGGAATTGCTGCTCCAGGTGCTTCCAGCAATGCGAAGCTCGTGGGCTACACTGCCCTTGGCAGTGCAGTTGCGGACGGAACTGGTGAGGTGTTCATTTATGTGCTCCTTGTCATGAGAAAACACATCTAGCCAGAGCTCGCCATGTGCCACTTCCCGTGTGAACGGAAAAGCCGAAGCGATTTCATTTTTGTTCTCCAAATTGTTTCCAAGCCGCGGCTTCGAAAAAGTCAGGCCCTTTCAAGCGCCGCCGGCGGGCGCCAGCCACATCGTGGTGGTCTCCGCAATGAACGGAGGGGCCATGGCGGGAGATGCTCGGCAGGTTTCAGCTTGCAGAACTCCGAGAATCACACCTCAAGTGAGCAAGGCCCAACAACCCTCGTTAAGCACTTATCTCAGAACCAAATCTCACTGACCCGAAGGTGAGAAGCAGAGCAGCCAGCCCCTTTTTCCTTGTTGGGTTACAAAATGACACTTTGGGCTCAAAGGGGTTGACGCCTGAGATATTTGTGGTTCTGGGCCTGTGAAGGTGACAGCCCTCTATTCTTAACACCTCCCCTTTGGCTTTGGGGAGTTGTCTGCTTTGTGGGGGGTTGGCTGGGGGAAGTGAGGTGAGGCCTTGGGTGGGCATAGTTTCTGGTTTATACCAAAGCAAACCGAAACCCGTTTTTAACACCCAATCCTCTATTTGGACTACCCATATGAACCATAGCCAAACGTCGGCGGGTTTGGGGTCTCTGCGCAAGTCGAACAAGTGTACGCGCAAGAAAGTCAGGTAAGGCAAGTGCGCGGGTTGCAAATCAGCTTTTTCCGAGGAGAGCTCATCTGCTATTGGTGTCGCGCTGCAAGACTATGCTCCGCCCAGCGTGGCATGATTGCAGACGAGGTGCTTGCTTTCTCTTGTCAGCCTTTCGCCATTCTCAGGTAACGGCGCAGGAAGTGACCTTTACAGATACTGATCCATTTGCTGGACAGGTCTCAGGTGGGGCAAGCTCCGCGCAAAGCGGTGTGAGTCTTGTCATTCGCGAGGAGAGATCCGAGTTACGGTCGTGGCCATAGCTTTCCGATGCGTTGGGCGTGCGCTGTCGCGTCATTGGGTCCTTCCGTGCAGGCAGCAAGCGATGAAACTGATGTCGCCTGTGTCTCAGTGGGACTGCAGTTTCACTGGCGCAAACCACATGAGCACTGCGTTATTAAATGCAGCCAACGCTGAAGCAATTGCTTTAGGACGGCAACGTGGGTTTCTGTGTGTTTTCTGTGTTTCTGTGTTTGTGCACACAAACACACAAACACACAAACACACAAACACACAAACACACAAACACACAAACACACCAACACACCAACACACCAACACACAACCACAGAACCACACAACCACGCCAACACACAAACGCACAAACACACAAGAATCAAGCGCGCAACCACACAAACACACAAACACACAAACACACAAACACACAACAAACACACACACAAACACGCAAACACGCAAACACGCAAACACATAAACACATAAACACGCACACACGCAAACACACAAAGCACACGAGCACACAAGCACACAAGCACGCAAGCACACAAACACAC